GCCATTTGGCGCCGCCGCTGGCCTTGCGTTTGGTACATTGAAACAATCAGAGCGCGCCTTCTGCGTGCCGCCGACACATTTTGTCGCGCGCGTTCTGCGCGCGCGGGGCGCGCGCGGTGTCGGGTTCAGATGCAACCCGCGCGACTGGCAACGACGGCGTAGAATTCACTTGCGTGGCAGCGTTTTTCATGGGCCATGCACCGCGCTTAGAGGGCGCGCGCACTGGGGGCGCGCGCGGGCGGCGGCGCTGGAGCCTTCGGGGAAGCTTGCGGCGAAACCCGACCGAAGCCGCAGACTTCCACCCCTCTCCCCCTTCCAATTGGCCTCTCCCCGCGCGGCTGCCTCAGGGGCGACGAGGTGGCGCTCGCGGATGGCGGCCCAAACTGCTAGTCGGGGCGCAGTTGGAGAGGCGGGCGCGACGCTCTAGTCTGGCAGACATGGCGCCAACGGCCCAAGCGCGACAGGAGAATCGACGGGGCTGCTGGCGCCGCGTCTGGCGCTGGATGCACTGACCAGGGGCGACGCCGCGGAAACTGATCAGCGCGTCGGGGCGTTCTGGGCCGCGGCATCGCGCGGCGGGCGTGGCCAACCACAAGCGCAAAAACACATAAAACACGTTGCTTGCCTTTTCCCACTCATGACCAGCGCGCTTCGCACGACAACTGCGCGTCGCTCAATGCATATGCGCCGCAGCAGAGAAAAAACAACGGCCCAAATGCGCCGATGGGCTGGCGGCGAAAAAAAAACATCGGAAAAACAAGCTTGGGAAACATTGAGCGCCCTGGCGCCCTGAACTAACTAGGCAATATAAGACATCATCACACACGCGCAAGCTGCGACTGGCTTAGAAACCAACAGACGCCACCCATCAATGAGCGCAGCTCGTCGGAGCCCCCCCCCCCCCGCGCGAAGAGTGGCGACCAGCCCGCCAGGGGTGGCACATTCATAGTGCGATTGCAGCGAGCCCCCCCCCCCGCGGTCCCAAATCGGATTTAAATTGCCCCCCCCCGGCCCCCTCTGCGCAATCCAAATCGAATTTAAACAGGCCGCCAAAATCCGCTGCGCAAAATTTACCGAGTATTCCGGTAACGTCGGCTCAATTTCGGAATTATTTCGGTAATTTCGGTTCAATTTATTTTTTTATTTCGGGCGCCCGCGGCGCCCCCTGGACCCCCCTAAAATAATTTCGAAAATTCCCCCCCCCCCCCTCCCCTGCGCGAGTCGAAGGGCGCCGCCCCCACCCGCCACGATGCGCCCACGGGTGCAATGCCGCTCGCTGGCGGGCACCTGCAACGCGCACTTGCAGGGGGGTCGAGCCGCGCGCATGCACGCCCGACGCGCGCCTGGCACTCGCTGATCAGCTCCTCTACGTTGGCCCACCGCGCCCCCCCCCCGACCCCCCGTGCAGCTGCTGCACATACATTTTGGGCACCTTCGCATCCACGCAGAATCCCCTGCACGCGCCCTCGACGCCCGCGCCAGGCGCGCGCGCTGCTCCCCCAGGCGCCACCCTCCAACGCAAATCCGAATACAAATGCAATAAGCTCCTGTGCTAACGCCCGACGCGCTCTTGCAAGACACCGATGCTCCTGCGCGCGCTTCCGACGCCGACCAGACGCGCGCTGCGGGCCCCGCGCGCGAGCCCCAACGCACTGCGACGGTTCAGCGCCACGCTGCACCCGCGCGGCGCAATGGCAAGCATTCCTGCGGGGCCCCCCAAACGCAACTGTGCCAACGCGAGCAAGGGAACCCTGCTCGCCTACAGGCCTCCAGCGGACGTCTTGGAGAGCCTGGGGCACCGCGCTGTTGCGCTGGCTGCTTTCTGGGGGCGGGAGGACCATGTACCGCGGGGTGCCCGGGCTGCTCGCGCGCCGCCAGCGCAATTGCATCCGTTCGAGCTGGGCCCGACCGCGGCGGCGAGGGATAGTGGGAGAGGACGACAGGAGGGCAACATGGTTCAAAGCGCGCGGCTGCGGAGACCTGACAACGCTGCGTTAGCGCGGCGGCCCCTATCAAACGCACGGAAGCCAACCGTCCAGCGGCTGGCGGCGCATGCGGCGCAACGGCAACGTGCCGCGCGCATTAGGATGCGTGGGCCCCACGCGCGAGGCTGGCGATACCGTTTTGGTTGAATGGCCGCGCAGAAGAAACAAACGCTGGGGCGCTCCCCATTGGCGGGCCTGGGAAGGGAACCCGCGCGGGCTCGAACGTTGGCATGCGCATTGGCGAGCGAGCACAGCTCGCATCAGGCGTGGATGCGCGCGCTGGTCGCGCACTGCGCGTGGCCGTTGGGGCGGGCCGCGCAACGCCTCGGCAGTCGATTCTTAACGGCGCGGGGTGGGGGCTAGTTTGCGCGCGAGCTCTGCATTGAGCAGCGGCTGCGCCCCGTGCGTCAGACTTCGGGCTTTTGCACAAAACACGCCGACGCTGGCATTCGGCGCGGCGCGCGGGGTTCGGCCTGGGAACTGGCAAGGACCAACGCCTAGAAGCGCGCTTGGAACATATTCCGCCGTTAGCGACCTGTCCGCGCATGAGGCGCGCTGGGCGCCGCCGCCAGCACATGAAGAGCAACGGCGTTATATAGCCGAAGAACAAGCCACATGCGCGTTAATGGCCCCTGTCGGGTGTAAATGGTAATGACGCGTGCCACGCAGTGGTGGTCCCACTTGCCATGCGGTGGCGAAGCCTGCGATACGCCCACGACGGTTATTCAGCCGACGGCAATGGTGAATGCATTCAGAATGGCGCCGCGCTCGTTCTCGCGCGGCGTGGTGCCTCTGCGCGCGCAAGCGATCGCCCGCGGCCGGCCGCAACGTCCGAACCTGACCATTGGCTGGGCTCGGCTTCGCGTTGCGAGCAAGCCCGAAGCCAACGCTGAGCGCGCGCCGTGTCTTGGCCGCGCCATGGGCGAGCGTGCGCGCGGTCGCCGTGGCGCGCTTGAGGTTTGGCCCTTGCGCGGGCGCGGGCGTTCGCTCGCTTTCGTTTCGCCGAAGGCCGTGCCAATGCGCGGGCACGGGTGCCGACGTGATCGCGCGTCTCTGGCACCTGCATGGCGCCCCGTTTTGGTGCGTCCTCTTTGCCTGGATCTGGCATGCCTCCGCGTCGCGCAAATTCTCTGGCACTCGGTTCGTTCTGGGAGCTTGCGCGCGCGCGCCGCCCGCTCCCGACTGGACCGAAGGCGCAGGCGCCTGGTGGCGCCGCCGTCTGCCAACTGGCCAAGCCAAGCGCAGCTGCCGCGCGTGAGTCCGCACTCGCGCGCACTTGCGCCGCGCGCTTCCATGGCTGGGCAACCCCGACGCCCCGCGCACAAACGCAATATGAACCCCCTGGCGCGGGACGCCGCCGCCGTGCCGCGAGAGCCGCCCACGGCAGCCTCGGCGCGCAGAAGAACGCGCGTGACCGCGCCGCGCGTGCTACGATTGCGCTGACGCGATGAATGAGCACTGCGAGCAAGGAGCGCACGATCGCGCGTTGCAGCGGTAAAGGGAAGACACCACGCACCCACATGAAATCATCAAGGCGAAGAGTGACACTGCACTCGCGCATATGTTTACTATACGTTCTATTTCGCGCGGCGCAAACCCTCATAGTCTGCGTGCGGCCGAATTAACGTTGTAAACTTTTACACATATGAGCGGCGGCATTTTTAGTCTGTGAATTTCCTAAGACGCGGCGCTGCCACGTCATCATCCGTAACGCTGCATCGGGCGAAGCCCGATGGACACCGCCACAACGCTGCAGCGCTGCAGCGCGGCCAGGCAATGCAGCCAACGATCTAATGCATGCGCAGCGCTGGTTCTTCACGGAACCGCTGGCAGATGCAATGCAACGCCATGCAACTGGGCCACGCGAGGTCTCCATCGGGGCCGCTTGAGCGCGCCATAGGGGGATCTTGGGCCACAGGAGGCTTGCTTGTTGGGTCTGTTTGGGGGCCTTGGAGCGTTTGCGGGTCTGTCTGGTGACGCCTTGCTTCCCCCCTTGGGTTTCCTCTAAGGCCACTGCCAGGGTCGGCGCAAGCACCGCGACACCACTCCACATAATATGGGTGGCATGTTCCTCTAGGGCAGCGTTAACTCCCCCACCCTCGATCGCCGAGCCGAGACGCGGCCCCACTGCGCCCGCCCACCACTTCCCTGCGCGATTGCCCCAGCCACCCCTCGCGCATAACACATCATGTCTGGCACCACCTCCTCCCTCAACGCCCTCCCCCCCTCCTCCAGCTTCCCTCATCCTCCCCATGCAAAGGCATATGAAGGGCTCCAGCGTGGCTCAAGGGACTTCGGGCGCGTTGACAAGCCCGCGATGCACCCCAGTATTGCTACGGAGCACATCGTACGAACGACTGTGATAAAGAACCCAGGGCATCGGCGTGGCCGCGGCGAAGACAAGGGGTTCGCGCGAAGCGCAGTCGATCTACACAGCCTCAAAGAGTGATGGCAACAATCTGTGGATCATCAAGTGACGGTTGCAGTCCACGCGCAACAATCGAACAGAGAACGTTCAACGTGCCACTCGTGCAACAAACTGTATAACGCCAGCCTCGCCTCGGAATGTCATGCGGCCCCGACTCATGGCTGGTGGGGTGGCTCGAGCGGCTCGTCTGGCACCTGAGGCCTCTCCGAGTGCAGCAACTCCTGCACGTCAGGATCCTCGCTGGTCATCAGACGGTGCCGCGCAGCTAAGCGAGCAGCATGGCTGTAGACCGCATGGGCCACGTGATCGGCCTTCGAGTCGTGGTTGGGGCCGTCCTCCAAGAAAGCTGCCAGGAACCCCACTGGCCGCCCCTGGGCAGGCCGAGCCCCGCCCACTGCACTTCGCTCTCGGCTGCACTTAAAATGCCCGCACTGGCACGTCGCCACGAAACGGGGCCCCGGATGCAAGTACAAAGAAACTCGACCGTTGGGAAAGTGGGCAGTGATGTCAGCTGCACCATGGGGCCCGTGGGCACGTGGCTCTCCATCGCCTGGTGGACGAGCATCGCCAACGTCAGCGTCGGGCGCCACCTCGTCATCTGACGTCACTGGGGTCGGGGGCCCTCCAACGGCATCGAAGTCATCGCCGACGATCTCATCTCCAGGCTCTCGGCCGTCGCCGTCAAACATGACTGCGTCGTCGATCAGATCGACGTCGCCATGGCCGCTGAGCTCGTCGTCGCTGCGGTGGTCGCCCCCATCTGCGCGATGGCCACCTCCACCGTCATCGTCGCCGTCGGCTGCTGGTCCACCTCCCTCGCGGTCTCTGCGAGCCCTTCGATGGAGGAAATTCGCCAGCCTGCCAAAGTCGTCCTCACCACTCCAGAAAGACACCGCATCACCGTCAAGTCGCTTTGCCACTTGCGCCGCTGGAGCAAAAGCGCCCTTCAGCGCCGCAGACGGCTGGAACTGAAAGAACTGGATAGACCACGGAACATCAGAACCATACATGTCCAAAAGCTCTTTGAAATACAAATGGCGCCTCAACCACTTCGGCTTCGTCGTGATCGTGACCCTGGCGTCGCTGGCACCCCCAGGCGTGGTTGCAGGCATGAGCACAGCCTTCCATGGTGACAGGCATTGGAAGGCGATGCAGCTCCATTCCTCAATGGTAACAACCTGCTCTGGTGAATCAGCACCTCCGCGGGCATCTAAACCTGCGAGCTGGTACGTGCCAACTAAGACCTGGCAAAAGCTTGCACTCTTGAGAAGGTTACGCTCTGTGCTCTTGGCAGGGAACTGCATCTTGACAGCGCCCTCCCAGTGCTTGACGAACATGTCGACTAATCCGCCGCTGTCGCCGCACAAGCAGAGGCCAGCCTCGAAGCATCGCGCCCGCGGTGGTCCTAGGCGCGGCAGGGCTTCGCAATCAGCTTGGCAAAATAGCTGGTGTCTGGTATCCCAGTCGCTGATAGCTGCAGCCTTGATCATGCGCCCAATCTTGCGGGATGCCTTCAGGGATGCCACCCGTCGGGCCAAGTGATACGTATCCGCGCTCGCGTATTCCACTCTCGTCATCGATGCTGTCGATGGCGTGGCACCAAATGCGGTATCATTGAACCCGTCCACTTCGATGCGCTCAGCAACATCGCGCTTAGCTGCATCCGAAAACGTTGCCTTGTAATTCTGGCGTTGGCGTCTGTTCTCGGCGACCGAAGCAGCAGTCGCAATCCGACGTTGGCGAGTCACATCGGAAATCACTGCTAGCGCATCTGTCAAAGAAGAACCAGGCATGACAGTAGCGGACCCCAAAGCCACCATCGCCGAAACAGAAGCCGCAGAAGCACTCGCATTGTCCAGATATGACTGTTGGACAGCACGGCGTTCACGATCAAGGAGCGCTTGATTAGCATCTTTCCGCGCCCTCTTGGCAAAGCGATCCTCTGGAACTCCGAATGGGTAGTGCTGGCCGCGCCGCCTCGATATAGACGCCTCGGCGCCCCTCTCCAAATACCTGCTGCGTTCCTCCTCAGTGAGCTCTTCGCGATACTCGCGGTTCAGCTCTCGAAACCCGACGCCGCGCCGACCAGCTCTGAGCTGCTCACTGATGTAAGCGCGCTGGCCACCGCCTCCCCCGAAAAGTTGCGTAGGGGGAGCGTCTGGGTCGTGCCTGCTGGCGCGGTCGGGTTCCGATGGTGGTGGTGGTGCCTGGACCTCGCGTGCCGAAGCGTGCCATCGCTTGATGTTCCTGTGCATGTTCTTACTGCTGGCGATCTGGATATTCAAAGAATGTGTCTGGCAAGATCCGACCACGGCTGTTCGTCGAACCCATGCGTGGATGTTCTCGCGCCTGCTGTTCTCGCTCTCGGCTTCCGCCGCGTGGGCAAGGACGTCCGCCAGCGCGTCGGCGCTGCCCATGCCACCCTTGTCCGAATAGTGGGCAATCAGACCGCGAGTCCAGGGGTCGAGCATGCACGCTGGCGTTGCCTCCAAACCATTAGTCATGTGCGAGGCGCCCCCCGTCTCCACGCCCAGCTGAGCCAAGGCGTACAACTTCCACGGGAAACCCTCGAGCATACCGATGACCTCGTCGGTCACCACCGCACCAGCGATGGCAATGACACGGAAGGCAAGCAAACTGGAGGTCCAGGTGCGTCCACCACCGACGGGAAGCGCAGCCCACTTGTGATCCAATTGTAATAGATCGCCCAAGTCATCCAGGAATTGCTACCCCAAAGAAACAGCGAGGTTCGCCTCGATGTGCGGCGGCAAGCAGGCGCCAGTTCCAACGCCTCCACACGCCAGGGCCGCATTGCGAGCATGAGCCCGCCCCGAGGCGCGAACAGAACCCAGGCCGAGGCAACTGTACATAAAGTGCTGCTGCGGCTTCGCAAGGATCGTCAACGACAGCGTCCTGGCGGCGAACGCGTCGCCCCTACATGCAACCAAGCCTTTCTTCACGTGCGTTGCCATGCTCCTTGCATCCACGGCGCATGCGTCGGCAAAGGGCCGAGCGTCGCCCGCGTCGCACAAGTGCGCACCAACGTCTGCAATGGCCAGCAGCCCGTCGCCAACACCATCAGGCACGGTGGTCTTGAGATGGCGCGCCGCGTAAATAGGACATATCTCTTGTAGCAAACCGTGGGTGTTCGCCAACAGCCCGATGACGCGCAAGCTGTCCGCTGCCCTTGTCCAGCGGGACCGTGGAAATGGATAGACACCCAATGCGAGAATGGCATCGACGTAGTACTTCAATGCCCAATGCCGGCGCTCTGCAGGATCCTCGTCGGCATTGGGCGCGTGCATCTCGAAGGCGCCCATCCGGTCGTAGTCGCCGTTTGCGACCATGCTCACAATCAAGCGCGCCTCGAGGCACCGATACGCTGCCACCAAACGATGACTCCACCGAAGAGGTTTGGATTTGGATGGCACCGTGGATTTCGTCGTGGTTCGCTGGCCCTGGGAGGCGCCGCGGGGGTGGGGAGCCCTGGCCCTGACAGACTTTAACTGGATTTCTTCAGATGTGGGGCTCGTTTGGTGGCAGCGCTACCTTGACGACCTTGAGTTCCGCCGCAGACCGCGGGGGGAACTCGTCGATGACAGCCCGCCGACGGTCGGCGGCGAGCATGGGCGACTCGCCGAACTTGATCTCCACGCGCCTGGACAGCACTTCCCTGGATATGTTCTTGAACGCCCGCATGCCACCAGGTGCCTGGAGAGCCTTACTCATATGGTAGTGCTCTGTCAAAGTTTCGTCGAAGACCGACCCGCTACTTTTCTCGTGGGCGCCCTGCAACAGATGGATCTTGCAACGCCTGTGTGAGATTTCTTCAGCTCGGCCAAGCTGCCGCTCTGCCTTGGCGATGGCCCCATCCCCGTCCGACATCGAAGTGCGATCGAACCTCTGGAAGAGACCACCCAACTCATCATGAATACCAGCCGTTTGCATCTTCCCGATGTGCGCGTAGGTCTCTGCTGTCTTGCGGTCAACGCTCGTGAGCGTGCACGGCAGTTCCGCCATCGCGTGAAGGTGTTTCGGCCCAGCGTCGCCGTCTCGAGGAGGCATCCTGAACACAGCGCCGATCTTCAGCTCGTAAGCGACCACCTGGCCGCGGTGCTCTGCCTCTGCTTTCCCGAGCTCTGCAGTGATGATATTGGTCTCGCCTGTCTCGTTCGCTGCGTCTATGATGGCGTCTGTGATGCGTTCGTGGCCGCGGACCTTATGGTATAGAAGTGTCTCGTCCATGGAGACGTGCACTGAATACCGTAGCGCTGCCCCGCCAGTGGCAGCAACGCGCCGAGCTAGTGTCTTGAATGTGTGCAGAGTCCGACGGCGCTCGATCTGAAAGGCGCACGCTGAATAGAACAGGTAGCGGTCCATCACACACGAAAAGTCCTGTTGTGCTGAATCTGCAATCGAACTGAACGGCACTGTGTCGCGGGCCCCCGCGCAGGCGCCCACGCATGCGAGGCCGCTTCTGGACAAGAACTGATCGCCAGCATCCGTCGCCAAGAGGGCCCCCAGACCATCAATACAAGTGCTGATGTCATTCCACGACCCATCTGCCTCAACTCTCGCCAACATGTCATTCATGTCATATGGGACGCGCGACGCCACCAATGAAAAATCATCTCGCAGGGGCCGATGGACGATGGCCGCGGCGTGAGGAACACCTGGCAGTGGCTCGGCGTCCGAGCGATGAAAATCAGGATCCGAATCAATGATGCCGCTCAGGAGCTCTTGCAAACTCAGGTCGTCGACGACGTCGGCATGACTAGCTACACATTCACGAAGAAGTGACTCCAACGATTGGTCGTCGCTAGGATATGGATCTAACTGACACGGAGGTGGTGCAGTGGGCCACTCTGGCATGCAATGCCGAATGGCGCACACGATGAACAAAATCATCGCGCCAAAACGCTGCGGAACGATGGGGGGGAAAGGGAAGGGGGAGGGAGGGGGATGGAGCCAAGGCAAGGAAGGGGAGAGGAGGAAGGATGACAGATCGAGTCGGCGGGCTTCGTTCATTCCCAGCCGCCCTCCCACAACATAAGAGATAATGCTGGCACAACTGGGCGCCGCCCTCAACGGAGGCGGACGCGTGAGCAAACATGTCTAGACCCCGCGCGTGCAGGGGCGGTGATGACGGCAATGGGCCTAACCCTGAAGAGCGTAAACTGTGACGGGGCCTGCAACCTGTGTTTTAGCAAGAAGCCTCGGCGCGTCGAGGACACCGCCCAACCAGTGCTTGCATCGAAAGGCAAAGCCTTGCCCTTGCGGCCAAAGGCAATACACCGAAAACCATGCCAGGGACATCGAAGGATGCTGGATCGAGTCGCGAACGCAAGGGTCAAGAAGCGTTTATGTTTGGTTTCGGCCTTGCTATTTATGCAAAGAGCCGCGCGGGGTTGTTTGTGAAGGGTGCCTTTCGCATCACAACGAGCAGCTGGGTGGCCCGAAGGGGCCCAGATACTGTTGTAAGTGTGGGGTGTATAACACCAGAGCCGCAGCTTAATTTCATTTGGTTTGTCGTCGGGCGCGATCGCAAGCACTGTTTGGTTAGCATGCGTCTCCTGTCGCGTTCCCCTCCCCCCCCCCTCCGCCCCTTCCTCCCTTCATTTCCATCATCCGTTCTTCCTTCCCTCCCTCCCGTCCTCCCTCTCCACTCGTCGTCCTCCTCCTCCCTCCCCCCCCATGAATTCCCATCCCCCCTCTCACCCCCCTCCGTCTTCCTCGTCCCTCGCTCCGTTCTCAGCCCCCCCCCGCCCCCCTTCGAGCTCATGCATGTTTCCCGTCTCCGCCAGGGATCCGTTCCGTTTTTTTTTTTTTTTTTTTTTTTTTTTTTTTTTTTTTTTTTTTTTTTTTTTTTTTTTTTTTTTTTTTTTTTTTTTTCTCCTACGCTGGGACAAAAGGATCTCTTCGCCCGAAGCGCGCCTGCATCGGCGCAAGATGTTTGCGTGTCTGTGCGGGGGGCGGGGCAAACGCTAGGGCGTCTGATCGCGCGGGGCAGGCCATCGTCGCCATCATTGATTGGGCAGGGTCGGTCCCATTGTTCGCGCTCAACTGCGGTAGTGAACAACGCCAGGGGCCACGACGACTACTTGGGATGCGATGAGTGCTTCTGCGAAGCAATGTAGGCCCCATTGATTTCACAGTGGCCCCAGATTTCCCCACCCTTCCCAGACCCCATCATCAGGACACAAGAGGCCTTCGTAGGGCCAACAAAACGAATTCCCAACTCCTATCTAAACCCGATTTAAAACCGATTTTATGTTTTTCGCCAAAACCTATTATAACCTGATTTAAAATCGATTTTGGCGTTTTGGCAAATCAAGAGCTGCCCAGCCCTCCCTGGTTACAAAGCTCCACCGCAAGCACCAATGACACAACCCGCACGCGTCCCAGCCACCCATGTCAGTACACCCCTCACATTCTGTGGCCCCATAGGGAGCTCCACCGGAGGCCCCAATGGCGCAGCCCGCATGCGCCCCAGCCACCAATTTCGGCACACCTCTTACACGATAGCCCGTGGCACAGCCCGCATGCGTCCCAGCAGCGCATTTCGGCACATCCCTCACAAGTTTCGTGGCCCCATATTGAGCTCCACCGAAAGCCCTCGTGGCGCAGCCCGCATGAGTCCCACCACCCATGTCATCACACCCCTCACACATTCCACGACGCATCATCGAACAAACGACTACTTGTCACATCCTGCGTCACATGCGACCTCATGATTGCCAACACGTTTTTCGACAACCCGGTCGAACGCAAAATCCCACCAGCCCTTCGGGCGAAAGGTGGTCTAACGAGGGTTTCTTTACTCTTCCACAACCCTTCTTCCCTTCGGGGAGGGGAGCCCTCCCCCTCCCCTCCATGAGTTTTTTGGGGAGGGGGTCGCGACGTGTCGGAGGCTCCTTTTTCGGCCATTGGAAGGGCCAATTTTTGCTACCTCTCACGAGGATCGTGGCCCCCGAGGGGGGGACGGAAATCTAGTACCTCTACTCTTTTGACCGACCGCCTCCAAGATGGCCCCAAGAGGCCCTTCAGGGCTCCCAGGAGGCTCCCCAAGACGACCCAAAGAGCGCCCCAAGAAGCTTCAAGAGGCCTCCAAAAGGCACCCGAGAGGCCCCCAAGAGGTCCCAGAGCGGCGTCAGAGAGCTCAACGTGACTCGCTCAAAATGGCCCCCAAGATGCTCCAAGCGGCCCCAAGACCGCTCCAGGACGGCTCGAGATGACCACGGAGCCTCACAAGCCGCCCTCGCTGTTTGACTCTGCGTGTCTCTTCCTCCCTCCCCCCGTCAACTCTCATGGGCATAGTTTCCGGATGGGCTGGTGGGGATAGGTTTTGGTATGCGGGCGCGCGAAGACGAGCCGAACGCCGTGCAAGCTAAGGCGGGCCGCGCCGAAGCAAAGAGGAACACAACGAAGCGAGCGGCCCTGGTGGGATACGAAACGCGTCAATAATTTCTTATCGTGATCTTGGTCCCCCTCCGATTGTATCCGTATCTGGTTCAAGATTCGCACACATGGATCACGTATTGCTCTACCGCAGCACTCTGCATGCTGTGGTGGACTGTTGGGCGTGCAAGGAACTGTCATGAACAACCCACCATTTTCTGACAGTGGTGAGCGAAACCCGCTACGACAAACGCTCGTTGAAGGATAGCGGTGCTAAACGTGCGTTCCTGAACGCCATCGCGGACGCTGCCCACATAGAGTCTCAAACGGGTACGCTTGATGAGGCAGCAGCTGAAGTTGAACAACCTTTCCAGCAAACAGCGTGCGCATTACCATAGAAAGAAGTCTTACCACTAAGTTCTTGCACAATCCAGCGTACTCTCGACCTCACTGAGCAGCGGAAAACGCGTCGTCAATCTGCGGACTCTGCATCCGAGAAATCCTGACTCAGATGATCCGCAACTCTGGAAAGGGAGATCGCACAGCATGGTTGGAAGAATATGCGGCTGGAGGTGGATGGGAAACAATGCAATTCTTACGTAAACCCCGAACTGTAAACAAATCTGCTATCAAAAAGCCAGATGGCACGCTTTCAGACACTGCGGAACGCGCACATATCATGGCAGACTACTTCGAAACAGTGCAATGGCGATTACAACATCCAGAACTGAAGCCAGAAACTCAAGCTCCAATTAGCGGCATATTACCTGTCAGAACACGTAACCTTACGATGGATGAGCTGCGCATGGTAGTACAAAAACTACAGCTTGGCAAGGCAACCGGGCCCGACAATACCTCATTCGATTCTTGGAAAACGCTCAGGTACGATAAAACATGCATCTGCCGTTTTATTGAAACTGTGCCAACACTGCTGGGCTAGAAAAGCGATCCCAAAATCTTGGAGAAGAGCGGGAATGGTCATACCTATCAGAAAGGTGGGCGCTGGCCTTCCAGAAATCTATCGCCCTAATTCCTTCTTTCAATTGGAAACAACATCTTGTCGGCGCTCCTGCACCAAATGGTTGCTTCAGAGGGTATCGAAGAACGCATGCAAAATTCACAGTCTAGTTTTCGGCCTGGGCGTGGCACCGTATACGCCCTCATGCTTGTGAAGCGAAGGATAGTGCCGCACAATGCTGGATTTGGCAAACACTATCGACATAATCAAACCAGAAGCCATGTGCAAAGCTTTGCAAACACTCGGACTATCCAGAGACATCGTGGACATGGTTCGCTTGATATACACAGCTCGCTTCTTCACTATCTTGGACCACAATGGAAGCTCTACGGAGAGGATACAAACGGCTGGGATCGCGCAAGGATGTCCGCTGTCGCCGAATCTATTCATTGCCGTGCAACCTGTCGTGCTACACGACGCGATCGATTCATTACCTCTTCAGACAGAGCCCGGATATGTCACTGGATTTTCCGTATGCAGGCGACACATCGTTAGCATCTCGGCACCATCCAAACCTCCAGACTATGCTAAGCACTGTCGTGGAAGAAGGGCGCACGTACGAGTTGGAGCTCAGTTGGGGCAAACTGGTTCAAATGCAGATATACACAAGCATGACGAGACCATATGAACATGATATAACGACACTGCGAGACGCAGTACATTCAGGATGGCTACAACTGAAGTTTCAAGAACATTGGGAGAAGTGGCCAACACATTCAAACAGCTCGATCAACTCTGGTCACGGTCGTCTCTTGGATGGGTGATACACGAAATCTACGACAATGTGGTGCTGAGTAAGCTTCTTTATCCCTTGGACTCTCTGTGGCTGCTCAAAGCAGATCGTGTTCGTCTGGACGCTGTCCACTTCAAGAACCTGAGGCGTATTTTAGGCATCCTATCTGCGTATATATCTAAGGAGAGTAACCCGAGCGTTTTGCAGCATGCATCAGCTAAACAGCTGTCAGAAATGCTTCTTTGTAGCCAAAAGGATCTGTACATTCAGATCACTATGTATGACGGCACTTCATTTGTGAAGCGTCTGCTTTTCAAAGCAAGCGGGCTTTCCAAAAACAAATCTGCGCGCCCCAAGAAGGCTGGCCCCGTGAACAGTGGGCGTCGTCAGTGCACGCGCTTCCCTAACACCTGTAGTTTGCATTTGCAGCGTTCCTTTCTCCCCCTTCCTCTCCCTGCCTCTTCCCTCTTCACGTTGCTCCGAATTCGTGGGGCTTTCATATTCTGCTTCACAATTGGCCGCTTTGTTTTCTGCTTCCCAATCGTGGGGCGCTCCGTCCTTCCCTTTCACAATCGCGATGCCTGTGCTTGTGCTTCGCTGTCGAGTCCCCGCGCCAACCGTCGTATAGTATTTCTCGGAGAGCTGATAACCGTGCACTCTTCTGCCAACATGTCCTGCTGGACGCTCGGCTCATGCTGCTGCTGCTGCTCTCTAACCATTCGTCTCCCCCCATCCCATCTGTTCTTATATTTCCTGGGGCATCGACGATTGTCTGTGATTTTTCCGTCCTGGTTGATCTTTGGCGGCGCGCAAAGGGGGGTAGGGGGAGAGGGTCGGCTTCTTAGAAGGAGGTTGTTTTTTCTAGAAAGCGCGGGCCTTGTCTACAGATGTAAAGCCGGCGCCTTCAAAGAAGCGACCTCCTTTTAAGAAGGTTTCCCCCTCCCCCTGCCCCCCTCTGCGCGTGGCCGAGACATGACTGCCTCAATCAGCGGCCCCACAAGACCCGAACGCCTCCCGGGGGAAAGCTGTTTGTCCTGGATCCATGTTTGATCTGATATTCCCGGGGGCCCGAAATTGGCCCCCGAAGGCCGACCTCGAGGCAAAACCGCCGTGAACAAATCATACTGCCGGAGATGGACAGGCCCTGCCACGAGTGGTGGCCGGCCCCCCGATCTCTGGCGATCGCGAAGCGTGGCCGGGCCGATCCCCCTGATCTTCGGCGATCACGAGTCGTGGCCTTGGGCGTCAAGGGACCACCTCACCGATCTTGGCCCACGATCGGCGAGGTGGTCAGAAGGAGCAGGAGCAGGAACAGGAGCAGTAGGAGGAGGGGGAGGAGGAAAAGGAGCAGGAGGAGGAGGAAGAGAAGGAGAGCGAGGAGAGAGAGGACTGACTCCTCGTGAACCTGAGGCCTCCCCTGGGAAACTCTGTGGCCTCTCCGTGAACCTTGGGCCTCCCCGAGCAGTCGACGTCCCCGGCGGAAGGCCATATCCCGTGCGAGCGGCCTCCCCTGGGACGGGGCCGCGGGGGGCGCGGGCCTCGCCGAGGCTGTCGCACGGCGAGGGCTCCCGCTGCGGCTCCTGTGCGGCTCGTCGCCGTCGCCGTCGCCGTCGTCGCCGCAGCAGTTGTCGTCGTCGTCGTCGTCGTCGCAGCACCCGTCGCAACCTCCACCGCCACAGGCACGGCCGCCGCCGCCGCCGCCGCCGCCGTTGCCGTCGCCGTCGCCGTCGCCGTCGCCGTCGCCGTCGTCGTCGTCGTCGTCGCCGTCGTCGTCGTCGAGGTCGTCGTCGAGGTCGTCGTCGAGGTCGTCGTCTTCGTGGTCGTGGTCGGGGCTTTGGTCGTGCTCCGAGACCCCCGACGCTGAGACCTCTTCGACGCCGGGGTTCTCGGAAGTCCCGACCACTTCCCCGAGGCTGGCTTTGCTTCCAGCAAGGGGCCCCATCACAAAGCCGCCGTCGAAAATTTTCACGACGCGAAGAAGACGGGGATGTCGTAGTCTCGCTCCTCCCCCCCCTCCTCCTCCTCCTTTTCCTCCTCCTCCTCTTCTTCCCCTTCCTCCTCCTCTTCCTCGTCCTCCTCCTCCAAACAGGTCTTTACAATCCTCGGTGGCTGCTAATTGGAAAGGCGTTCCTGGCCCAAGGCGCCCTCAGATCTTTTCGCGCCGCTCTTTTCAAGCCCCCGGGGCCCACAGGGCCTCGTGAGGGGTGCTCTAGAGGCCGTGGAGGAGGATGAAGAGGAGGAAGATCCTAATAATCCCGAGACACCTCGGGCCAAGAACACCTCTGGCAACACCCTGGGCCTGGCTGGAGGATCGGTGACCGGACAGTCCGCAGCACACCTCGGCGAGGCGCAGCTGGCTGAAAAACCTCGGGGGACCAACGAGGCCGTTCGACGACACTGAACCAGGAACCCCCAAGTCGCCTCGATCCTCCTCTTCCTCCTCCTTCTCCTCTTCCTCCTCCTCCTCGTCCTTCTGATTCGTCGTCGTCGCGTCGGCGCTGTCGGCCTCCTCTTCCTCCTCTTCCGCGCAGGCCTTTGAAGTCCTGGCGCAGCCAGAGGCGGCTGCGCATCAGTGCAGACGGAGGGCAGGAACTTATCAAGCAAAAGATGGGGGTGGCCTCGCGGGGATCGGCCGGCTCTCAACATCGCCCCGCAGTGGGCACCATAAGGCGCGCCTCCACGGCGAGAAAGCACACGCACACACTCACTCGCACACACACACACACACCACATACACCATACACACCATACACACCATACACACCATACACACTATACACAAACACACACACACACTCTTGCGTCGGTGGCTAGGCAGACGCACTGCGCTGGCGGGAAAACGAAACAGGGCTGCCGTAAAAGCTAATTGACCCACCATGCACACACACGCATACACACAACCACACACAACACAAACACGTATACACAAACACACGAACACACCAACAAAGAACAACATAACACACACACACGCGCACAAACAAACAGACACACACACAGACACACACACAAACACACACACGCACGCACACGCAAGCACACACACGCAAACGCCTACACACAAACGCCTGCACACAAACGCCTGCACACACACACACCCACACACCCACACACCCACACACCCACACACCCACACACCCACACACCCACACACCCACACACCCACACACCCACACAGGCACACAGGCACACAGGCACACAGGCACACAGGCACACAGGCACACAGGCACACAGGCACACAGGCACACAGGCACACCCACACAGGCACACAGGCACACAGGCACACAGGCACACAGGCACACAGGCACACAGGCACACAGGCACACAGGCACACAGGCACACAGGCACACACGCACACACGCACACACGCACACACGCACACACGCACACACGCACACACGCACACACACACGCACACACGCACACACGCACACACGCACACACGCACACACGCAGCACACACACGCACACACACACACACTCACACACACTCACACACACACTCACACACACACTCACACACACACTCACACACACACTCATACACACTCACACACACTCACACTCACACACACACACACACTCACACACACTCACACCCACACTCACACACTCACGTACTCACACACTCACACACTCACACACACTCACACACACTCACACACTCATACACTCACACACTCACACACTCACACACTCACACACTCACACACTCACACACACACTCACACACACTCACACACACTCACACACACACTCACACACACTCACACACACTCACACACACTCACACACACACACACACTCACCTCACACACATACTCACACACATACTCACACACACTCACACACACTCACAC